GGAGAAATCAAGGCAGGAGATAGAGATTAGAGAACTGTTGACATCTAGTGAGCCATCAGTGAATGTGTAGGATGGGAAGAGAATAGGGCTAAGAACAGAATTCTAGGGCCAATAATATTCTAGGTGCACCAGAGAGAGAAGCACTCACAAAAGGAACTCAAGAATAGCCTCTGGAGTCTCAGTTTCTTGTAACACTTTCCTTCCTTCCTCCTCTACCTGGCCTGTTTTCTCCTCATTCCCTGGTTTTCTGCCTACTTGTAGTATCTGCTTCCTAAAACTTGAGCTTGCACATTGTTCTCCATGGCCTCTCCCATCTGTCATCACAGATCTCTTAGCTTCAGCTCTCATTACTAGGCTGCTTCATTCTCTTGTTTGTTTTGTGTTTATTTTTTTAGTTCAAGGTGGGGGGAAACCCTAAAGAGAATCAGATTGACCCATATTATCATTTTGCATCATGCTATGGCAGAGGCCACCAGTTTAAATTAGGATTGGCTATCCAGAGGTCAGGTCCCCATCCTAGTCAGCTGCTTCTCTGTTTCAGGAATGAATTCAGTTGGACTATTCAGAAAGCCTCTTCCCACAGAGGCTTTGTGAGAAGAAGGTTAACTTGATCTCCATTGTATTTGCTGGATCCAGGATTATAGTGTCAAAAATGGGTATATAATAGGTTCGGGACTCTCTTTACCATCACCCCATTTGCTTCTAGCTTCATGTAGCCTTAATGCTGTCTGTACGCAGTAAATCATCTTTATAGAAATTGAATTTGTGGTCCAAATCACAGGAGTAAAATCCAAGCAGGCAAAACTCAGTTCAACTACAGGTTTCCCCTGCTATCCAAAAGTAGAAACCTTTCTTAAGCCAAAAATAGTGTAAAGTGAAGAAGCAATTGCCATTAGTTTATAAAGAAAAATTTTTGAGCATTCCCAGACCCAAGATAACCCCTTTTAGGCTTTTCTGATGCCTTAGGACACATGTTGCTAATGGGTGCACAAAATACATTGAGATAAAGTACAGATACTCACAAACACAGTTCAAAGCTACGGCAGCTTGTTGCTGAGAGGCTGAATGTGGTTCCTGGGGAAGGAGCTTCATGGGGCTTCTCCGGCTGCTTGGGGTATGCCCCAATAATGGCTTGCTGCAAAACAAACACTGAACACTGAGTTCACTTTTTGCCTTTTTCACGGAAGCAAAACGTATGTTTATAAACATTATCCAAATTAGAGCTGGTTATTTAGATTCACAGTCCTTCTAGTCACTCACCATTCATACATTCTCTAGGCTCTTACTATCCATACACATACGTGAGCGATGACTCTCCCATCACACTGAACATGAAGCATCTCATCTCCTTTCAGAAAGAGATCCTCTGGGCAGGGTTGCAGCTTGCATCTATGGTATTGACAGGAGCCAAAAAGGGACCATTGTTACTATTTGGTCCTCCTCCTGGATAGCAAGAGGACTGGAATTTATATTGCCAGTGCAAACAAAGTACCACAAAGCCTTCAAATTCCTTATAGATTTCATTATACACAGATAATAATCTTTCACAAGATCTGTATTTACTGAACCTAAGTATGATGGATCGACTCCAGGAAAGGCAGGGCACCTACCTACAAGGTCAAATGAGCTCTGAAACCAAATTCCTATGAAGCCAAGCTTCAAAGAAGATGTTTCCTTGTATGGGGTTCATGTGAGGTGAGCAGGGATTGGTGATGGCCTGGGTGAGAGGTGATCTCTTGCTACTCTCCTCTGTGCCCTGCAGAGGCTTAGGCCAACTCATAAACCATAGCCCTGGCCTGTAGTTCCTACTGATAGCTGGAATGAAAACAGGAGAGTGCAGTGTTTTCTACACAAGAGTGGACATTCACCATCCATTTCTCCAGTGGACTCTTGCTGGGTCATTCTTTAATTGCAGCAGAGGGCTGTGCCTTCATGCTCAGCTGGCCAATGTTGAGCCTACTAGGACTGTTTTAATCAAGTCTGTTTATTCTGTCTACAAGTGACTTCTTGGTCATGGTTAACTGCTTTAGGGGTGAATTAAGTTCTATTAGGCAGTAAATTGCTTAAGCAACTCTTGTCTATGGAACTGATCTCAGTGAGAGCAGAATGAGCAGAAAACCTAAGAAGAGCAATGGAAGTTCAAGATCTCAAAAGGGCTCTAGAGATGATGTAGGATAACCTCACCAAGAGATGCTACACTGAGGCTGACAGCTGGGGCCTCAAACAGCTGGAGCCAGTAAGAAGAGGTCAGCCAAATTAGCATTGAAGCAGAAGTTATATGATGGTGCTTTTGTTATTTAAAAAATATAAGGGAAAGATAAGGGGAAATATTGTTGAATAAAATGAATGCAATAGAGGCAGCCTCCAAAATAACTGAAGGGCAACCTTCAGCTACTTACTCTTTCTCTGTGGTCACACAGATAATTTTCCTTTGGGTCTTTGAATCAGAAGATCTGAAGGATGATTAAATTCTTATGCAGAACAGGGAAATCATATGCTTCGTCTCTTACATTCTTCCTTCCCTCATGCTCTCTCTTCAGATCCAAAAGAATCATATAGTCTAGTCTCAAAAAATTACTCCTGTTCTTTGAACCTGCCAGACTCTTTTACACTTCTGTGACTTGGTACATGTTGTTTCCTAAGCCTGTAGTGGCTTCCCTTTCCTTGTCTATCTTGAAAATTCCAACCTAATCATCAGGGGCCAGCATAAGTTCATCTTCTTTAGAAAGTCTTCTGGGACTCACCAGATTGGGTCAGTTGTTCCTTAATTATGCTCCCACATATCTTTGTGTGTGTATTTTTCTATCATTTGTCAACTTATGTTATAATCATGTGATAGGATAATACTCTGAAATATTACTGGCTCATTTAGGATTAATTGCATTATAACAATGGCTTTAAAAAGGTGGAAGTTTACTTCTCTGTCCTGTTAAGAAATACTAAGGGGAAGCAGTCTAGAGCTAGTACAGCAGCTTTGCAGTGTCATGATGAATCCAGTTTCCTATCTATATTCTTTGCCATACTCAGCTTATAGCTCTCGTTTTCAAGTTTACCTCACATCCAAAATGGCTGCTCAAGCTCCAGCCATCACAACCATACTTCAGGAAGTAGCAAGAAGGAAGAAGGAAGATGTCCTGTCTCTGCTCTTTTAAGAAGGTTTCCTGGAAACACTGTAGAACAGTTTTAGTTATATATAATTGGCCTGAACTCAGTCACATGGACACACATATAGCTGCAAGAAACTCAGGAAAATGTATCTTTATGTGGCAGCATTGTGTCAGAATAAAAATTGTACTCAAGGAAATGAGAGAAGAATGGGTATTGAGAGGCATGTTGCAATCACATTATCTAATGCATTTTTTTTTTTTTTTTGAGACAGAGACAGAGCATGAACGGGGGAGGGGCAGAGAGAGAGGGAGACACAGAATCGGAAGCAGGCTCCAGGCTCTGAGCCATCAGCCCAGAGCCCGACGCGGGGCTTGAACTCACGGACCGCGAGATCGTGACCTGAGCTGAAGTCAGACGCTTAACCGACTGAGCCGCCCAGGCGCCCCTCTAATGCTTTTTTTTTTTTTTTTTTAATTTTGTCATTCTTGCTGCTTCTCATTCCTCTACCTATTGAAGCTAAGCAGCCTGTGGTTTTAGGAAGCGGTTAGAGCCCAGGTGAAAACACATATAATGGGTTTAAGGTATACAGTCGTAATTCAAATATGCAGAAATGTAAACTTTCTCCATTTGCTGAACTTGATTTGCCCAGAAGCCCCTACTTCCATTTATGACTAGAAAAAAAATCTTACCAATTAAAGGTAATGTCACTTCTATTTTAAAATGTAATCTCTTTGGGGACTCTTGATGACAGAACAAACTGAGGGTTGATGGAAGGAGTTGAGTGGGGGAGATGGGCTAAATGGGTGAGGAGGGCACTTGTTATGATGAGCCCTGGGTGTTATATGTAAGTGATGAATCACTAAATTCTCCTGAAACCAATACTACACTATATTTTAATTAACTAGAACTTAAATAAAAATTTGAAAAAAGAAATCTCTTTGGATAAATATTCAGCCAAATGCAGGGCTCTTACCGTCCCTTTATTCTACCTTCTTACCAAGAAGTGGTCTGGTTACCAGAATCTTTCTGCATCTCTCTAGTTCTCTTGGACCTCCAATACATAGTTATATTAGATGTCTGTCACACTCTCTACGCAGGGACCCCATGGGTCTGGAGCACTGTCTTAGCTGTTTCGCTTTCCCCAGTGCCTATTGCAGAAGTTGACATACAGGCAATAGTTAAAAATTTGATGAATTTGAGTGTATTTTAAACGCATCACATAATTAATTCAAATGGTAGCATAATGATCTGAAAATCCTTGTAAAATTTCTCTAAAGCCCCTAGCACTATGTTTATAGGATTTTCTTTTTTAAAAAAAAAATTTTTTAATGTTTATTTATTTTTGAGACAGAGGGAGACAGAGCACGAGTTGGGGAGGGGCAGAGAGAGAGGGAGACACAGAATCTGAAACAGGCTCCAGGCTCTGAGCTGTCAGCACAGAGCCTTATGCGGGGCGCGAACCTACGAACCGTGAGATCGTGACCTGAGCCAAAGTCAGACGCTTAACCGACTGAGCCACCCAGGAGCCCCTATAGCATTCTTTCTTATGGCATTAATAATACTCGGCTCTCAGTGATGGTGGTTGTGTGCTCGCCCTTCATTAGTGTCTGCTCCCTGAGGAATGTTCCCGATCTGTGTAACTCTCACAGGTCCTGCAGAAAACCATGGGCATTGTAGGCCTTGAGTCAATGAAAATGAAGGACTAAATGAATAGGGACTGGCACTTTATAATTTACCACTAATGAATGACTCCCACCTGGGAAGAAACAGATTGGATTTTATCAGAGCTATTTAGAACAGTATCAGTAAAGACAAGTTGATGTTTTGCCTTTAACTAAACACTTTTTTTTTGGTAAAAATAAATAAATAAATAAATTGCTTTTGTTTTTCAGAAATCCTCCACCTACTTTACTTCATCCAGAAAAATGGTGTGAGGAATTCAACCACTTTATTTCACAGTGAGTATCTCTTCCACTAAAAATTGCTTATCCAGCAAGGCCTTGAACAGTGATTGGAAATCCAAGCTGTGGAATTTACTTGGCGCTAGAAGTTGTTATGCCTTTTAGCACATTACGACACAGAATTTGTTCCAGTGAATGATGGAAGATGCCTCTGCAGAATTTGAAACATAAGGAGTTCTATTTGACTTTTGGCTATAATCAGTCCTTCTGATCATGTGGATCACATTTATCTGAGAATCTACTCTGTCCTGGAGCAAATGTTGCCAGTGGTCTTTTTAATAAGGGAGGAGACTCAACGTCTAAAACTGTGATGCCCAGGGTGCCTGGGTGGCTCAGTAGGTTAAGCATCCGACTCTTGATTTTGGCTCAGATCATGATACCACAGTCTTGAGATTGAGACCCGCATTGGGCTCTGCGCTGGGCACGGAGCCTGCTTAAGATTCTCATTTCCCCTTCCCCTTGGCCCCTCCCTGCCCATGTGTGTGTTTTCTCTCTCTCTCTCTCTCTCTCTCTCTCTCTCAGTCTCTCTCAATAAATAAATAAACAAACAAACAAACTGTGATGCCCACACTAGTCCTAGAGAAGAGACAGAAGGTGGCAGTGTTCAACAGAAGCCTTGCAGCTTGGAAGTTGGACTTTGCTCTAGGATCTGTGGTATGAGAATACAGCTCCGGTTCCCAGGATGATTGAGTAGGCAGAGTAGGATCTCAGGCTTGAGGCACTAAAGTGAACAGCCCCAGCCAAGGGCTCAAGGTGGGGAGAACAAGATAAAAACCCATGTGATGGATGGTGTACCTGATGGGAGCTGTGTTACCAGGAGCTAGGCAAGATAGAATGGGACTAAGACAGGAGCAGAACCACCAATAATACCATTAGGATGGTGACTCCTTGCTGGGAACATGAGCTTTTGTCCTGGCCCCTGGGAAAGGACCACACTGCTTCCAGATCTGGGGAAGATACTTACTTTGCTGGAAGGGACTATATGACCCCAGGCTCAAGGCCTGGTGAACTGTGGGGTCTAGACCAGGCATTACAAGGTATATCCAGTGCATAGGAACTGGGAAGAGATGTGCTCAGTGTCTAGCAGATCAAACCAGGTGTTCAGAGGTCATGGAAGAGAAAAGAAGTGCCCAAAATAGCTAGTAACCAGGAAGTAGTGAATGGTCAACACAACGTTTTCTAACTGCTATCTGTGTGCATGATTAGCTTCAACAAAGAGGCAGGACAATGAGGAAAACTGGGTCCCTTCATCATCTTCCCTACTCAGTCACAATACAGATCAATAATTCCTTATCCACAATTCTAAAATCCAAAGAGCTCTAAAAAATGGAAGTTATTTTTGTACTTGACTCATTTAGCTACAAGTCCTGACCTTATGTGATCTGACTTGGTGGCAACACATGACCTAAACTGAAATGAAGCTATTTATAGTCATTATTTATCTCACTCAGTGTGAATATTCATGTGAATTGCTGCAGATATATTAATGTGTTTGATTACAGTGTGCTGCCCCAGATCCTGCTGGGGAATGTTACATAACATACAGTAAATGCACTGGTTTACTTTTCTAAAATTTGATAAAATTCTGAATTCTAAAGCCTATTTGACTCCAAGGGTTAGTAGAAAGAGCTGTGAACCTATATTTAATTTTTGTTTCACATGCAGCCTAGTTCAAGGTCCTTGAAATTGTTTGCTTGTCCAGCCCCTCCTGGATTTGTGCTGTCTTTGTCAGGAGAGAAGAACAGTAATGTACTCTCAAGAACTCTACCAAGCAAAGCTGTATTGGAATGTGACCATATAGTTCAAGGCTAGAGCATTTCCTCGCCCCTCCAGCCCCCACTCTGATGCTTCTGCAAAGCCTGCAGAATGCAGAAGCAGCCACAACTTAAGGGTGGCAATGTCAGGCAATGGTGAGAAGAACAACATATAGAGCAGGAGGGATGATACTCATGTAGGAGCAGAGGAAGAGGCACTCCCTGGAATTTGGGAGCCAAAGGAGGAGGTCAAGGGAACTGGAGAACTAAAGACACCTTGGTGTCTGGGGGCACATTTCAGATCACCCCAGGGAGAAAAATCCAAGGGCTGTGGTTCCAGTGATTTTTGCTAGCAAGGCTGGATTTAAAAAAATTTCCTTTTCATTCCATTGCTGCATACAGATTCCCTTGATTGACCTTCTCAAAGCTGTTGGCCTAGAAAAATCCATTACATATTCACAAAAATGCCTTCCTATACCAAGCTCTTGTGATGCCTCTAAAATGTGACTTGACTCACCAAATTTTTATATTCTGTATATTTTTTCAAGAGTGTATTTGTGTTCTTTTAACATTTTTTAAATTAAAAAAAAATTTTTTTTTGGTTATTTTTGAGAGACAGTGGGAGCAGGGCAGGGGCAGAGAGAGAGGAAGACACAGAATTCGAAGCAGGCTCTGGGCTCTGAGCTGTCAGCACAGAGCCTCGTGCAGGGCTCGAAATCATTAGCCATGATATCATGACCTGAGCTGAAGTCGGACGCTTAACCGACTGAGCCACCCAGGCGCCCTGTATTTGTGTTCTTAAACCAAGCACGGTATTGCTTAGATGGATTTGGGAATAGAGGTACATAATTTATGATGAAGTTGGGACTTTCAGGGTTAAACAGTATAGAAATCCCTCCCTATTACTGATTTTTCTCTATGGCAGATCCTATTACACCATTTAAGTGTATTTAAGTCCACTTAAGTCTGCTTACGTTTTCCCCAACTCTGAGATTTCTTGATGCACTCGTTCTGATTTGCTTTAGACTTAGAAGGGTCTTGATACTGGAATGGAGAACAGAACACAAAAACCGGTGCCTTTAATATGCATACTATAAGGCACAAAGAAAAATATCTTGTTGAAACCACAGGAGAGGGAGAGTCTGAAAAGGTTCTAATGAACCAATGAAGGTAAATAGAAATTAAGTGATTGTGTCCTTTACTACTAATTTAAGACATGGAAAAATGTCATCAATCTTCTCTTTATTTAATGAGTTGTCCTTAGTGGTTTTATTAGTGAAAATACTATATATTATAGTTGTTCATAGATTCTTTCCTGACTTGAGCCCCCAATCCTACTTTCCTCATAACATCTTAGATTCCTCAACCATGAATTCTTTTTTTTTTTACAAGATTGTTAGAAAGATGAGTCTCAAGATTAGAGGCTAATTATTCTATTTTATATATTTAGGTAGAAACCTGCCCACTATTCCCAAATAATAACCTTTGGTTTCATAGGTGAGCCTGTATACCGTAGACTGCCATTACTCAGCCTACCAAATGCAATTTGTCTTTACTATTTCATTCTGTTTATTCAGATCTCTAATGAAATACAAACAGTGACACTCACTGAGTTAGCAATGTCTGTTTAGAGAGCCTTGGTTTGCTTTTATACTTATCTTGCCCATATTGGAGGAGAATGATAGATGATTAAGACTTTCAGAGTATATTAGTGGGAGTGGGGTGGAGAAGATGATTTTCTCATAATTTTAGGAAAGGTGTTTTTAGCTTGAATTATTCAGTTAATTGCTTCAATTCCCATTGTAGAATGAACAATGCATTGTATTAAAGTAAATAAATGAATTCTTTCTGAAGAGCAAAGAGGACTAGAATTCTTTCACAGCTTTAAAACTTTTAATACCCTATCATCATGTGGCTACTAAACCATAGCAGAGGTGATTCAGTAATTTTGATCTTTCTTGGTCCATGTTTGTCTCCACTTACCAAAGAACCTATATGGCTTCTCATTGATTGCTACAGTGGCCTGAAGGGATTAGTCTGGCTGTAGCTAGTGATTATAGCTTGTGTAGACAGGGGACAGGGTGTGTGTATGTGTGTGTGGGGGGGGGCAATGGGAATTAGAGAGGGAACGAATGTGCATGAAGTAGCAGGGGAGGGGCAGGGACAGCATGAGTGCTGGGATGTGGCTTGGTGTTTTTCAGGTTTCCAGTCTTAATTTGGAGATGCTAGGAGAGATTTAAGAAAGTCTGAATCCTATTAGTAAACATGTATTGGAGTTAAAAGAAAAGCAACGTCAGTTTGGTTCTGAACCTTTGGTCGTTAGTGATAATTGACTAATTGATATGAGTTAGTTATGCATTTGTCAAAGCTTGACTCCTGACAGCTTAGTTAAGATAAATTAAACATGATGCTCACATAAATTCTACACTGCTTTTTATCCATATGCTAGGACCCTGCCTGATGTTTTTTGTCACCTCTGTAATGTGTGGCTGGCTTTGTAGAGATTTCATTATCAGCCCTTTCCCCTATGGCTAAAGCTATTTGCATAACAAGTTTATCTGGTTCAAATTTCAGCCAGACTTCTGCTCTGTCAGGAGGCTCCTTTCAGAAGTAGCCTTGTGACCAGATAACAATAATTTTCCTTTGCCGACTTCACCTTCATCCTGAAGGATGTCTTCCCCACCCCCCCCCACGCCCCCGTTCAAACTAATTTCAGGTCTTTGGACCAAACTATAATACTTTCCCAGTTATTGGCTAATTAGGTATCTGTGAACTATGCTTTTTCATGTTGCCTCTAAAACTTTTGGGGTTTTATTAGGAATTAATTTTAGGAAGTTATCATCAGTGACTCTTGAGCTGATTGGTGAGACAATAAAGAAGGATTTCTCCCAGGCAAGGGCAAATCTACCAGGAGCACGTTGGCTGCTCAGCTTAGGCTTTAGTGATGACCTGAGCTATATGGCCTGCCACACACACTGCTTTCTTGAGTTGGCTGGCTTGAGAGGCTAAGCATGTAGGTCTGTTTTCCAAAGTGGGCTTTGTGGCTGAGCCTTGCCATTTAGCCATGAAATGTAGAGGCAGCCTTTCCTATCCCTCCAAATGACATTCAATGGCTACAAGCAGTTGTACTGCATGTTAACAAGGTGAGATCACTCTGAGCTACAGAACTGCTAAAACTAATGGGTATTTGCATAAATTCATTCTTTAAAAATTGAAACTCAGAACTGGAACATTGGCTTTTCT